AACGCGCAAAACTTTACAAATTGAAAATAATTTAAGAAAATCTGAAATGGTAAAAACAAATGACAGAGTCTCAATAATTGAACACAGTCAAAAAGATATTGAACACAGTATTACTTTTACACAAGATATCCAAGAGGAGAAAATCAATAAAATTGAAAAAAAAATTGTTACAAAAGTAGCATTTAGTGTAGAAGAAAAAAATAAGCTGCGACAACTTGAAGATCGACTGAGAAGAAATAATTTGCGCCTTGAAGGAATAACGGAGAGCGAATCTGAAAGTTGGAATGAATCTGAAGAAAAGGTTTTAAGTATCTTTGAAAACAAACTAAATGTAAATGGCGTGGTTATTGAAAGGGCACATAGAACCGGAAAAACTGGGCAAAGTAAACCTAAATCAATTGTGATAAAACTTCTGAACTACAAAGATAAAGTTAGCATATTAAAAACTCCAAAAAATTAAAAGGAACAGGAATATTTATAAACAAAGACTATTCTTTAGATATCCGAAACAAACGGAAAACTCTTTTTGAATAAATATGAACTCACAGGACAAATGGTAAGTATTATACTAATTTATCATAAGTCGTTATTTATGATAAATTAGTAGTTAAAGATTTTAAAAAATCACTTAAAAAAGCCTAAAGCTTATATATTTTTTATATTTTGTATTTTAAATATTAATCTTAGTTAATATTGCTAAAATGGTGGAAGCCATTTTATTTCATTGGCGTCTTTCATTGGCGTCTAAGTTTTTAAATAGATTTTCCCACCTCTGTTTGGACAGGTAATTGTTAAATTGAATATAATTTCTTTTATTATAAATAAATTTACTAAAACAATTAAACTTGTAAAACGAATAAAGTTGGTGTAGTCATTAGCTAATTGATTATGCCAGGATAGAGTCCAGTGACCTTGTGAACTATTTTCTAATGGCGGACCAACAACAATCTAACTTGTACAATTGGCCGATTCGCTGATTATTAGGTCAAAAATATTTTTAAAGACCCGTTGGATTGAATAAAGGTTGGTCTAGTGACATGTTGATGTAGATATAGGCTGTTAACAATGTTAACAAATTTTGTATCTTAACTGGTTTCAGTGTTTGAGGTGTATATCCATCCTTTTTTTCCATTTGATGTTCGGGAAGTTGAAACCGCCGGTAATTATAAGGTCTGCAAACTTCTTTTTTTTTAATAAACGATTTGGCATAAGAAATTGTGTTAACAATCATTAAAAGATTTTATTCCACTAGTTGGTGGGTGATAGATGCAACCGGTAAGAAGAGTTTTGGCAAATGAGTGGTTAAAAAATTTTGAGCAAATTTAACGCAAATTTAAGACAAATGAGTGGTTAAAAAATTTTGTTTTGGGTTATATAACAATAATAAAATTCGTAATAAAAAAACGATATACGAAGCGGGAAAAAATATTGTTAAGAAGTAAAGTTTTCTCTACAATCCGAATTAAAAGTAGCTTTGAGACCATATTAAAATCAAAATGTCCGAAAATCAGAGAGTATTATTGACTTTTGAATAACTTTCGAACCGTTAATACATTTGAGTTGAAATTTTCCACAGTGAGCCACCAACTATAAGAAAATAAAACTCCAAAATTTTTTTTTTTTTAATCTGTCGGGAATGACCAGTATCGTTTATTTTACAGACTGAGGGTTTTCACTAATTTACATATTTTTTGGGTCATACTCACTTTTAATTAACGTTTGAACATTTAATACATTTGAACTGAAATTTCCCATAGTGACCCATCAACTATAAAAAAATAAAATTCAAATTTATTTTTTTTTTAATTTGTCGGGATTGTCGAAAATCACCTATTTTACAGACTGAGAGTTTTTACTAATTTATATATTCTTGGGGTCATACTGACTTTTTAATAACTTTTAAACCGTAATTATATTTGACTTGAAATTTTTCACAGTGATCAAACAACTATAAGAAAATAGAAAACCAAAATTTAAAGAACATCTGTCGCGATTGTCCAGAATCATCTGTTTTACAGCGTGAAGGTATTTATACTATTTTCTTATTTTTGGAGAATAAAATTTGGAGTCAAGTTATAATTATACCATGCAAATATGCTTAAAAGAATCATGAAATGCAAAAAGTACATCATTTGAAAACTATTTTATAATTTACAGACCGGCTAGTGAAATAATCGCATAAATTACAGATTGGTCAGTAAAAAGGGATCTACAAACCAATTGGACATATCAACTTTAAAAACATTTAATATTTTTGAAACCTTACTAAATTTGATTTTAAATTTTTAATAGTAATCCATTTTTTATTAAATCTGTCGGGATTACACAGAATCGTTTATTTTACAGACTGAAGTTTTTTCAACTTATTTAATTATGTAATGAAGAACAAAAATAAGGGTTACCATATGCAAATATTTTTTTTTATTTTTTAGGTGCCCCAAGAAGTCCTTGCGGTCTTATTACAGAGCACCGCAGAAGAGCATTTAATAGGAAGTTCACGCTTCCTTCCCAACCGATGTCGCAAAACTTGCCCAGAGGTGGGGTTTGAACTATGGATCTTACGTTTCTGAGGCAAGTGCGCTACCAATGCGCCACAGCTGCTTAAATATGCATAAAGGAATCATGGAATCTGAAAAACACATCATTTGAAATTATTGCACAATGTACAGAGCGGTCAATAAATTACTGCAAGAGGTTTGCACAAACCAATTGGGCAATTTGAATTTGAATGTTGAATCTGGCGAAGTCTTTAAAAAGTCTTGATAAAAGTCTTGATGTTGTCTTTAAAAAGTCTTGATGTTGATATTTCTATATTAATAAATGGCAACATTTTTACTATGTTTTCTACTTTACATTGTCTCTGATTATCTTATTGTACTAACCTCTCATGGAAACCTTATATACAAATCATCGCTAAGTTAGTATTTTTTATACAATTATATAGTATTTGGAAAAATCATTAATAATGCTTGTAAAACACCTGGAATATTTAGTGCCCATTGCTTAAAACAGTTTAATGATAAAATGGAAAAGAAACCTTATTTAAGTGCATCATACTTAGTTAACTAAATAATATTTAATAAAAAAACGTAGTTGAATTTTACAAGACTTTTTTTGAAATTATTGTAAATAAACTTTTATGTTAATCGTTATTGTTATACCAATCTTATAAAAATCCGAATAAATAGGTTTATTTTGTTTCAAATGTCTTTTTGATGATGTTATTGTCTTAATATTTAAAGATTTTGTACTAGTCACACCTTGACATCACAGTGTGACGTAAACTCCTTTGATATATTTATGTGGTGTCCCCATTTACATTTATAAAACATTTTTAAAATGTTATGAAACTATTATAACAACTTTTAAGTATCCAAGACATAACAGAAAAATATTTCAAAATATCCACAAGAGCTGAACTAATGTCATTTCTTCTAATGACGGAAAATACTAGATAATTTTTGTCACGTTGTGACGCAACCTTTTAATGCGTATATCTATAAGTCTATAAATTATTATAACTAAATAGTTTTGTATTTAGAACTGTAATAAACATGAAAATTTTTTAGTATCTTTAATTTTAAAATTTTTTATTTTAAATTTGCTAAAATCTGATTTTTTTTCCCAAAAAAAAAGTCAAATGTCACGCCGTGACAACGTGGAATAGCCCTCATTTTCATTGAAAATTTCAAAATGTGTATTGCCTTTAACAATAGCAAGAAATAATTTAGTACTAGTAAAACTAAAAAAAAATATGTTCTGCAATCTCTCAAAAAGTTATATACTTTAACAGTGGGCATCCGTTGTCCGGGGAACGTTCGTCGGACTTTTTTATGAATGTCAGGACATCCATAAGACGTCCATCGGGCGTCCCCCGAATGACGCGTGCCTAGTATAACTTAGTAACATAATATCGATCACTCAATTTTTAACGATAAATTAATAAATTTTCATATTATATGCTGTTCTTAACCCTAACACAAATTTATAATGTTCATAATGTTATGAATTTAAGTTAGCACAATAAACGTTTTTAACTGATTTTGTCAAAAACCAGTTAAAAACATCATCATTGTTATATTTTAATTCAGCGTTTTGCGATTCTCCCACGTGATATGAACGATAAAAATATACATCACCTGCACATAAACGAAAGCCATCACCGGCGCGGTGTTGCTAATCATAATCCAATGATAACCATGTATGGACCATGCATGGACCATGCATGGACCATGCATGAAGAGTTTGCTGGGTATATATACATATTATATATATATATATATATATATATATATATATATATATATATATATATATATATATATATATATATATATATATATATATATATGTATGTATGTATATATATATATATATATATATATATATATATATATATATATATATATATATATATATATATATATATATATATATAAAATATATATATATATATATATATATATATATATATATATATATATATATATATATATATATATATATATATATATATATATATATATATATATATATAAAGAAAAAAACCTTTAAGGGTATACTATTATAAATATGCAGGATTACTTTTTAAAATCTTTCGTCATCTTCCGTGAAAAAAATATTGATTTGAAATTTTCGATTTATTGCTCTGAACAAATGAGTTGCTTTTTCTATAGAAAGCATTTGAAATTTGTTCTAACATATTCTATAAATAAGCAGTGTACTTATAACACAAAATAAGCAGTGTACTTATAACACAAAATAAGCAGTGTACTTATAACACAAAATAAGCAGTGTACTAGTACACTGCTTATTTATATTTATATTCATTTATTTATGTTATAAGCTTATAACACAAAATAAGCAGTGTACTTATAACACAAAATGAGCAGTGTGCTTATAACACAAAATAAGCAGTGTACTTATAACACAAAATAAGCAGTGTACTTACAACTTAGAAACAACAACAAACAAAAAAGCATTTAATTTCTTCATAATATTAAAAAAAATCAGACTCTAGCTTGACAGATCAAGCAGCTTAAAAAAAAAGAATTACACTAATTAAATATTGTTCTAAAAAATTGTTGAAAGGTAATTTCTCACATATTATATGTTATAATACAGTATTCTCTAGAAAAGAGTTAAAAGCTTAAAAAATCAATAAAACAGTTTAGAAGATTATTTGGGTCCGGATGATTAACGAAACTGCCTTTTGAACTGTTGCCAGTGGTGATTATTGCCTTTTGAACCATTGCCAGTGATGGTTGAAGCCATGATGGAGTAATTCTGTTGCTTACTCTGAATAGATGCCCAGTAAGTTGTGGCAACCAAAAAATTGTATCACTTGAAAAAGACAGCATGCGCTTTGAAAGTGACACCCGTGTTTAGAAGGTAGAAATTTTTATATAACGGTGTAATAGTTGTCTTGAAGAACATTTTCAAAGGAAGCATAAACAACTGAATCAAACTTTCTAAATGTGTAAATAAATCGAAATGCTAAAAATCAAGCATGCTTTTCCGCAAGTTATTGAAGCAAATCAACATTTCGTAAATGCTTTCTGCTCTCATTGTCTGCGAATTGCCTCCGTGAAAAGGTTGTTGTTGAATGTTCGTAATTTTTGGTCACTCTAGTGCATTTTTCCACTGCAGACACATTTTTCCACTGCAATCACACCACGTGACTTTGATAAAGATTCACATCTTTGACTTAATGTCACACCAGGTACAAGGGTGAGCACTTCAGGGAGACTTCAAATCACAAATAATGTTTGCAAGCTTTATGTCACATGATAATACAAAAGCAAATTTTTACATAGTTCAATAAGTTTATGATTTGCTTTATATTGTCATAATTTTTAGAAAGGTTTTTTGCGATAATCACCAGAAGTTGATGCTTCACTCCTGAGTCCTTGAAGAAAAGTTTCCTAGTTGGGGAAGAAACAGTTGATTTTTTTTTTTATCAAGAACGCTAAGACACTTTTCAGAAATCCCCCTTCTCCATCAATTTATTAATAAGTTTATTTGATAGAGGACCTCTGATCTAAACTAAGGTGCTTTTTAGAGCTTCACCGTCTTTTCAGAATACCAATAGACATTTGGATTCTTGGCTACAACTTTAGGATATGTTTAAAGTTTCTGATATGACAACCAAGTCAGAAAGATGCTTTCCAAGAGAATCAAGTTTTTTTCAACTATTCCCTGAGGAGCGATATGGTTAAGTGTTGAATCAAGCTTGTTAATCGCTCTGTTTGAAAGTCCATTTTGGATTTGAACTTGTAGAAGTTGTTGAGTAGTCAAGGTGGATGTAGCTGCTGGAAAAAGTTCACTTTGTCTTGATGACCCTTGAAAAAAAGTAACATAACACAATTTCTCATAGTATAAAGTTTTATTGTTGTAATAAAAGAATCACTTAAACAAAAGAATATTAAGGATATATGACAAAAAAAAAATATTTTTCACCTGGAGTAACTAGAAGATACCTTGACTAAGATGCACAGTACCATGGGGTGAAGGAAACTTGTTAGCTACCACAAAGCAACTACTTTTTCTGCTGATTTTGTGTCTTTTGCTGCAAGTAAGTTCTCTCAAGGCATTTCTTTTGTACAATTATGTGGAATCCAATCAGCAAAGACCATGCTGAACAAACGTTTGAGCATGCTCAACGAATAGTACTGTTCGCTTAACGATTAGTTGGTATTGTATAATAGTTGGTGTAGTGGTACTATTTGCTTAGAGAATGATACTAGTCAATGTTAACTAATATTCGCTACTGGACTTAGTTTAACTTCAAAAAATGAATGTAAACAAACTTCGCCGGCTCCTAATCAAATGTTTGTTTCATAAAAATAAAATTTCTAACAAAAGATTTTTTTTAATAGTTATTCAACAGTTTTGAAATAATCTTTTAAAAATAACACATCAAAATTTTATTTTATTAGCAATGATAGTTAAAACAAGGTTTTAAATAATAATTAAGTTGCTTTATAACGTTTGCTTTATAGCGTTATCTTTCCATGATTACTTTGTTGCCATCTCAACATATTCAAACTTTTCTGTTATCTCTAACTGTAACTAAACCTTTTTGTATTGTTATTGTATTTGTATAACATTGAATAGTTTTATAAGTTCATATAATTAATTTTTCGTAATGGCTTTGACAAAAAGGTTTGGTAATGAAAGTCAATTTACCCAACGTTGGTTTAATAATCTTTTGCTTTACTCGATGATTCTGTAATTAAAGTTGCTTCAAACGTTATTAAAAGGTAAATGTTAACTTGATAATTTAAAAGATCATTAATAAAAGCAAACTACAGAAAGGTAATTAGAGACAATTCAGTAATTTTATTTTAATTTTAAGTTATATCGTAAAATTGCCAAAGTTTAGTCATATAACCTTTAAACATTCAAATCTCAGCCATAAATAAACGTTTTTTCAATTTTTTTCCCTAAAATATCTAGACAATTTTATCGCTAATTTATATTGTGAAAAAAAAATAATAA